TTTAAATCTTCAAATATATATGTGCAAAGTTACAAACCTTAATAAGCATTGGTATTGATTTACCAGCCCATTGGAAATCTTGAAAAATTAAAATCGAGAATGGGAGGGGTTCCCTTAAGTGAGTGAGGGAGTGACTGACAGATCATCGCCCAGACGAAACGTCTGAGGTAGAAGCTTGAAGTTTTGAGTGTGGGTTGTCGTTGGTGTGCAGACGGGAGATAAGGCTGGTTTTTGGAAATTCAAACTAGAAAGGTACGAAAAGTACTAAAATGTACCAAATATGGTAACTTTTGTATTAGGCGACCGGGAAGAACTAAAATTCAGAAATTTGTAATGTGGGTCACTGATGGAAAGTTACAATAATGTGCAAAAGGGTTTTTGGAAATTCGACCTATACGTGTACGAAAAGTACTAAACTTTACTAAATTTAGTTCTAATTGTATATATTGAACATATATAGCTAGAATCTTGAAATTTTGTATGGAATACAGGATGGGAAGTGGTGTTGATGTATGGAAATGGATTAAGAAATTCGTACTTAGGTGTATAAAAAGTACAAAATGGTACTAAATTTGGTACTTTTCCATTTAGTTGAGCGTATAGAGATGGCATCCTGAAAATAGGATTTAGGATTATTATTGAAGTACAGGATTGACGTAGCTTAAAAAATCGTACTATTATGTATCAAAAGTACTAAATGGTGCTTAATTTGGTACAAGTTGGATTTATGTGATAAGGCTGGAGTCTTGAAATTGGTAAATATGTGTAGTGTAGGATTGAGGTAGTTTAGGAAAATCGTACTTATTGTTACGAAAAGTACTAAATTTAGTACAATTTGGATTTTGCTTCAACGAATAGAACTGAAAACTTGATGTTTGGAATAATGGTTGCTGTTGGAATTAGAATTGAAATATGAAAGCATAGTACTTATGTATACTAAATGGTACTATATTTGGTACAACTTAATTATGTGTGAACGGATAGAGCTGGACTCCAGAATTTAGATATTAAAATTACTGTTGGAGTATACGATTGAGGTAGTTTAGAAAATTCCTAATTATTGAAACAAAAAGTACTAAATGGTACCAAATTGTTTACAAATTGATTTTGTGTGAACGGATACGGCTGAGATCGGCTGAAATTTAGAATTTAAGTTACAATTGTAGAGCAGGCTGGTACTAAATTTGGCACAATTTAGTACTGAGTGAACGGATAGAGATGGAAAACTTAAATTTGGAATGAAATGACAGGATTAAGGTAGTATTAGAATTTTGAACTTATGTATACGAGAAGCACTAAATTATACTAAATATGGTTCAATTCGATTTGTGTGAGCGGGAATCCAAACATTTTGGAAATAAAATGAAGTGTAGTCTGGAATATGCGTAATTATGTGTACTAAATGGTATGTTAAGTACAATTTAGATTTGAGTGTACGAAAAGTACAGAACGGAATCAAATCTGGTACAATTTGGTTTTTAACGAACAGACAGAGCTGGTATTTTTAAATTTGGACTTACGATTACTATTTGAAAGCATAATTGCGACACATTTAGAAATTCGTACTTATAAGTACGAAAAGTACTTAATTTGGTACAATGTGCACTTTGGTGGAATTAAGATTATCGTTAGAGTGTAGGATTGATGCAGTTTAAAAATGCTTACATATGAGTATGAAAAGTACTAAATTTGGTACAGTTTGTATTTGGTTAAATCCTGAGATTTGGAATTTAGATTACTGGTGAAGTGTAGTATTGAGCTATGGTGATAACTTTGGAAACACGAATTTATGTGTACGAATAGTAAATAAAATAGAAAATGCCCTAAATTTGGATTTGAGTAACAGAGAGAGATCTGGAAACCCAAAATTTGGAATGAGTTAAAAAGAAGTACTAAATGGAATTTGCTGAAAGTGTTGAATGGAACTAAATGTGGAACCGGTAGGTTTTGCTAAAATATATAATTGGAATTGTGATCTTTTTTGAATCCATGTAGTGGAAATAAGAAAGAGATTTCGGAAATAGTACTTAATGGTAAAAATCGTAATATTAGATATAGAAATAGAGTTGGGATTCAGAACTATAGCATAACAAATTATACAATTTTACGATTTCCGTATAAATTTTTTAGCGGGCACTTTGCTAGTATGGATATATCATGATAATACTGTTACAGTATTGGATCCTTAAAGACCATTCACAATTTTAGCCTTGCATGGCTTGCTTTTTCGCCTTTGTCAAAGAAAAACTATAAAGTGTACCGAATTTTCTCTTATTTACAACTGAAAGCACCAAACAAAAAACAGCAAAAAATTTTTTTTACTGCAAAACTTTACCCTTTCGAACGAAATAATAATGGATTTTTTCCCCAAATTAAAATTATATGATCCATAAATGTTGGAGTGTGTATGGGTCAAAACCCCATATAACGGTACCCCAAAATGTATTTTGGTCACTTCTTCAATCGAAATTACATTAATTTGGTAGTTCGGGTTGTCCTTGTCTACCTAACATTATCAATATTGGTCCAGTTGTATGGAAACCCCCATATTATAGTATATCCCAAATTTGGCACGACAATTGTAATTTAGTACCGTCATTGGGTGGCACATCTTCATACAAAAATTTCGAACATTGGTCAATGCTTCGGGATAACTCCTATACAACAGTGTCCCCATTATTCGTAGCTTGGGATTTTGGACACATGGTTGAACTTGAAATCTTCGTACCAAAAATTATCAATATCGGCCCACCTTTTGGTATAGCACTCATACCGTCTCATGTTCGGTATTTTGGAGGCATTAGCCTCTTTTTTTCAATCGAAGAGGTTATTGATTGGTAGAAATATATTTTCCATAATTTAGCATAATATGTTCATGATTCGACATAGCCCACATATATATCCGCCAATTGTTTGTCCCGCCCCATTATTGGTTTTTTGACAGTTTAAGCCGCATTTTCTCTCCCAAGTCGTTGTAATTTAGCACTATGGTTTCCTAGAGGGTGAAAAATATTTTTACAGCTCATTTCTTTCTACTTATTTCCAAGTTTTGACATAGCTACCACATAAATGTTCGACCAATTTTCAGTATTTTGAAGGGTTTATATAAATTGTTTCAATTGAAATGCTTGTAATTTAGCATCCCGTGTTCCATTCTATATGAGCACATGTTTTTACCTGTCCCATATTAAACGGTTCCAGCGTCATTTTCGTTTTTTTTTAAGTTTTAGACCAATTTAAGCATTTCGGGTTCTATTATGACCACATAGAACCATATAAAGAAGAACCCGACCCATTTTCAGTATTTTGAGGGCTTTAGATGCGAAGGGGTTTTAATTTGGTATTTCGTATCTCTTGTGAATAAAAAAAATCGTTCCAGAAAGTTTTCAATATAGGTACATATCTATTCAGGTCTCCCACACAAAGGGACTACATTGAAGTACCTAGCCTAGTTTTCCAACCTAAGTGTCCTAGCTGACAATAGAGCATTATGGGTCAGAGATCCAGAGAGAACTATGGGCCAGAGATCTCATTTTTTGGCCACAATTAGATCAGTGGGTTTATGCAATAAATAAGGCTTTCGGGGACGCTGATTATAGAAATCGAACATATCAAGACGTCTATTGGTGACCTAACCATTAAAATATCCTCTGGCACTGGGTTTGGGACTCTTTTTTTGGAAAAAATTATATTTATGAGTTTTGAATACCAAATTTTTTTATGATTATCTTATAATTTCTAGAAATTTTCCCCTTTATTATCACCAGTTCCATCTGTTTAATTGGTCGCAAATACAAATTAATATTTTGACACATGTCAATGTTATATAACATTTTTCATATATATATATATATATATATATAAATTATGGTCACAAAAATATGAACTTCTGACTTTGGCTTTTGTCAATTGCAGACCGTGACCCACAATGTTCTAAAATGGTAAAGCTCTATAATAAAATTGTAAAGCTCTATATTTCCTCTATACCTAAAATGAACTTTTTGCCAAAAAAAAATAGTTTTCTGGTCAATGGTGAAGAGCTTTAAACCCCTAAACTTCGTAAACATGTTGTTGCACAGTGTAATTTCTGAAAACCAGAGTTAGTGTCACTTTTAGTAAAATATAAAAAAATTGAATTAAATTATATTTGTTTGTTTAGAATTGTGTAAAACAAAATTAGCCGGTTTATTAAGCCTCCAGGTATAAACAAACAATAGTGAATATTAAAATAAATGGCCGAAGTGTTTCTAGTCAAGCGGTACTGAAATAAAAAGATATAACGTTGGTTTTACCTCAATGAGATTTTAATCAGAAATTTCCGACAAAAACACAACACGAATGAAAACAAAAAAACATCTTCACAACAACAAAAAACACTAAACTTGACCTAAGATAAAATTGTAATAGAATAGCATCTAAAGGTCACTAAAAATGATGCCACAAAAAGAAAGTAAAGAAAAAGCGAACCAAAAAAAAAAAGAAATTGTGAAAAATATGGTAAAAAGAATGTGGATTATTAATTTTTTACTTAATCAGGAAATGCTCCCAATAGCGATGACAATTGACCCACATGTGTGTGTGTGTGTGAATCATAAATCTCAAATTGGCTAAAATTAATACTTAATGTCATTCAGGTCTGAAAGGTGTTCGTTCACGCAATTCTATTACGAAGATATGGAAATAGAAAAAACACTAAGAAATAAAATAAAACCCACATAAAATAGAATCCACTTAACAAAAAAATAGAAGAAGTTAGATAGAAATGAGAGAAAAAACCCCCCAGAAGAATGACACCGGCAAAGAAATAGGCAAATAGCCCAGCCATTCCGGAGCATAGATATGCTGACAATCTTAAGAATTTCGCTTTAATCAGTTTGCTCGTTAACGCCGTGGCCGTAGGAAGTTCTTTTTCGTAGAATCATTAGACAACAGAAATAAAAACTACAAGACGTCGGGAAAAAAGAAAACAAAAATCGAAAAATCATCGCGCTTATGAGAAGATTTGTATTCCGCCCTTTGATATTATTATTATGACAACAACATTGAAATGTGTTTTAATTGTGATGACCATCTTTTTGCCGGTGACATGGCCATACCGTTACTTGGCGCGCCAAACATCCCCGGATGCCAGTGATGTAATATTTTTGGTACGCCATCCCTCCTACGACGCGAATTCTTTATTCTTTAATAGCGAGGATTTATACGATAATACCGTGGAAAGTCTGCAGTGGTTGGTCGGACCAACCGATATTCGTCGTTATAACATCTTTTCACCCTCCTCAACGTATCAAATTAATTTGCGCTATCGCAACGATCCATCGGTTATCCGGTATTACGGTTATCAATTGTGGAAAATACACGAAACGAATATGAAACATCCGGAATTGAATAAGTTTTGGCAATTATTTGGTTAGTGTGAGAATAAAAAAGTTATAAAACTAAAGAATATAAAAGAAATATTTAAAAAAAATATGAACGAGTGAAAACATTGTTTGATAACCGATCTACATATATATATATTTATTAATAAAGGAGTAAAAAGTGATTGACTGTCTCACTTTTCTCTCTCTTCTTCAGCTTCATACCGGCCACATCTTCTATTAACTGCTCGCTACGTTAGGCCGTCATCTCCATAAACCTCTTCATCGCAGCATTATAGTTGCTCTTTCTTGACGGCTCAGTATCGTTGACCGCTGTTTTCGTCTTATTGGCGGTATCATCGACAAGCTTCAGCATAACCACCACTTCTTACGATGAACGTCACATGTGTCCAGGGGCTTCATCTTGTGTTGTCGGTTCATCGCCATTGTCCTGATTTATCTTCATATCTGCAACACAATTATCCACTGGCGGCTCGCACTTCTCAGGAATTATTTCCTGATTGACTTCTTCTAGCAATAGCTTCCGCATCTATTGATCATTTACTTCTTAATTTTTTCCAGAATATCTATATTCTCCGTATAGTATTCCAATTATAAAGCAACGCGCCTGTTAAAATTGAACTGTGGTTCTCATAGTCGTACACTAAACACTCCAACAAATACAGACTTCTTTCAAATTTCTGGATATTAAACCATACAAAGTTTAAAAGCCTTAACCGCATCCCTTTTTTCTGATGCCCCTTTGCCCAGAATTGAGGCACCCTCGACATTTTGGCTTGCCGTCTTCCTTGCCGCATTCTAATTCTGACTAAGCATTTTATTTATTCCATTTTTTTTTTTTGTTTATTGAAAATTGACAGAATTTCCTTGACCTTTAAGATAAATTCTTCATCATCTATTTCTCCACGATCGGTCACTGATCCGGCTCGAAGGACCAATGTTAAAACAGGGATTCTAATAGTTGATTTTGGGATTGGGATTTCTCCTTAGAGAGAAAATCTGACTTGTAACAAACGTTTTCAAGCCTAATTATAATTAAGAATCTGACCATTCGTATCGTTAATTTGTTCTAATGATGAAACATTGTGTAAATTTACCCACTGGCCAAATAATAATGGACTTTGTAATAGCCAATAAAAACTAAAGCCTTTAGTCCAAAATTAATTTTATAACTGTATTTCCGTTAATGTATATTCATTTTAAAACGTTTGTTTAAAAATGAGAATGGTGTATTGCCTTAAAACAGAACCGGCTTAAATGTTTCGACATAAAAATGTAAATAAATAAATGTTTCCAAAAATACGTATGAATTTAAATAACGCGTGCGTCTATGCCTAATCATGCAAAAAATATACAAACATAACATCATCAGCTTTTCAATATTTTAAAACTATCTAATATCATTCCAAAAAGTCTGCCAATGCTACACGGACTTGGCAACGACAGCTTGTTTATTTTTTATAGTTTATTTATAGCTTAGCAATATTATGTATCTGCAAAGCTCATAAAAACGAAAAAGGGATCTCGGAAGTTTCAAATCCGTACTAAATTGTATTGCCGTTAGTATAATGTGAACGAATATAGCGGGAGTCTTGAAAATTGGTTCGATTTTGAGATATGGATATTAGCAGATAGAGTTGAAGAAGGGATTGGTATAAATCTTTGTGAATCGTAAACATAGTTCCTCGTTGCACTCTAGGTATTGCTCCACTATTCCATTTTCCATATATGGGCATATTTCATCATACAGACTCATATCATACAGATTGTTATTCAGTGTTGACCTCATTCCTACGCATTGTGTCAATATATTTCTCTCCCACATTCTAATCCTTTCCATTTGTGCTGATGCAGCAAAGAAGTAGGTGATGATGGGTTGAATCACTTGCTTGTATACTAGAAAAAATTACCTCCCAAGAAAGTCCTTCTCGCATTCAAAAGACTGGACCTAATCCACATGGCGAGGTATTTCATCCTGTCTGAAATTTCCAACTTTTATAGTTGGAATATATTTTCGATAGCTCTTCGCAGTGGACTTGGGTTTGCCCTTGAAAACCACTGATACACATTTTCCAACATTGAGTTCTTCAACAAATGGGGACTTACATTTGTTGAAGTAGTTGCGAAGTGTTTCCATTCAATCTTCCTTCCACAGTGATTCAAAGCGGTCTCGCAGTGCAAAAAAACACATCATCAGCGTATGTTAACAGCAATCCTCTTTCAGGTGGCACTGGTATGTCGCATACGAACAGGTTGTATAAAACTGCCCCCAATAGTGATCCCTCCTGTTTAACCGATCGCTGTTCAGACATCTTTACTTCTACTGTAACACGAAATACTCGAGAAAACTTGAGAAATCTTTCAACCATGCGACAAGTTTGATGATCAAATCCGAGCGATTGCATCTTACGAAAAATTCCGTGCTACCAGACTGTGTCAAAAGCTTTGGCGAAATCCAGACTAAAAGTAATGCTTAATTTCTTCAGTTTGAAACCTTCGCTGACATATGAAGATATGTCTGCCGGTGCATGGGTTGTCGAATTTGCCAAACTGGTAATATCTTAGGATTTTCCTTTCCTTTCCCCAATAACTTTGTTAATGCATCGCAGAATAAAAGTCTCCAGTTATATCCCAAAGGGCTATAGTAGGAAAATTGATCTGTAGCTTCTGTACCAGGCTATGGGATTGATACGACCAGTGTCTCCGTCGCATACGAACAGGTTGTATAGAACTGCCCCCAATAGTGATCCCTCCTGTTTAACCGATCGCTGTTCAGACATCTTATCTTCTACTGTAACACGAAATACTCGAGAAAACTTGAGAAATCTTACAATCATGCGACAAGTTTGATGATCAAATCCGAGCGATTGTATCTTATTAAAAATTTCGTGCTACCAGACTGTGTCAAAAGCTTTGGCAAAATCCAGACTAAAAGTAATGCTTCATTTCTTGAGTTTGAAACCTTCGGTGACATATGAAGATAGGGCTGCCGGTGCATGGGTTGTCGAATTTGCCAAACTGGTAATATCTTAGGATTTTCCTTTCCCCAATAACTTGGTTAATGCATTGCAGAATAAAAGTCTCCAGTTATTTCCCAAAGGACTATAGTAGGAAAATTGGTCTGTAGCTTCCGCGTCTGTACCAGGCTATGGGATTGATACGACCAGTGTCTCTTTCCATGCTATTGGGAAATAGCCAATGTTGAAGCAGTGGTTAAAAAGTAACATCAGGAAAATTATTAATAATAATTATGGTTTCTCCAGCATTCTTCATGGCAACATCTAGAACTTTATCGAGGCTATACCATTTCTTCGCGGCAGGGAAGAGACCAGTTCTGAGTCTATAAAGTCCCATCTACGCCCATCGTTGTTTACAGTTGCATACGCTTTGAATTCACTACAGAGATCAACGAGGGGAGCATCGTTGTATACATCATTTACTGCAGTGCTGACAAGAGTGCGCAAAGAATTATCCACTGCAAGATCAGATTGGTGGATCTCATCCATATGATCGGCGACTATTACTCCGTTGTCATCATGAATGCCTTTGATGGGCTGCCCGAAAGAAAGTCCAACAGCCCTCTTTACATTCCCATATGTCTTGGAGTTAATTTCGATGCTTTCCAAATATCCGGTGAAACGTTTATGTTAAAAAGTTGCCTGTCTATCATGCTGAGATTCATGATGTCTGCTTTGGGGATGGGATGACGAACAGCATCTGGGCTTCTCCTGAAACTCCTGATATTTGACATTCACACAATCGTCCAATTCCTTTTTTTGACATTTTTGTCTGTGAGAAGGGTATGTTGAACCAACGCTTCTTTGATTTGTCCTTGTAGAAAATCTCTGTTTTATCTTCTTGGATGCTACCCGTTCGCAGGCAAATCTCAACTGCACGATGTTCGGACTCAAATTCATGTCGAAGTTGTGAGGACAATTCCCGGTGTTCGCAAGAAGTAGTCGATCAATGATCGTCCCATTATGCCTGACCTTTTTGAAACATCTGTTGGATAGACGTCAAAGTTAGGAGAATTATAAATTTTGCGGCGGTGCTTATGTGACCCACCTTGGCGAGGTCCGCTGCGTTCAGTGAGTTTTCTGGCAGTAGATAAATTTCTAGCATCACAATGCTTGATCCATCCTCATTGTTAATATCCTTACTCTACAGGATTCTATTTGACCAGTGTTCACAAAAACTTCATCCGATTTTATTAAACTCTTGACCTTTCACTGGCCCATGAAAAAATATTTATTTAATCTATGTCTTGATCTTTTCTATCTACGGTTGGGCTTATAATCTTCTCACTACTTGTTCTTGTCTTAATTTTTTCACTATAGTCACTATTTTCGTAAAGATAAAATATTAAAAATCTCTCTTCTTTTCTCTAGGAAACGAAGTATGGAATATCAATCAGGATGGCGTTGATATATTGATTGATTACAAGAATACTGCCAAGGCGAAGGAGTATATGACATCGAGTGCCTTTACCTACAACATAATGATTGATGATTTGGAAACAGCCATTGATGAAACATACACCGAGGTGAATAATACTAATCCGGAAATGCCATGGCTAGAATTGGAAGGTAAGTTAATACCAATACCCACTAACATTTCAAAATAATAAAAAATGTTCTATATTTCTAGGTAGCACAATGTCATGGAATCGTTATCACGATATGATGGAGATAAAACAATTTATGCAATATATTTTGGAAACATATCCCGAGCAGGCGGAAATTGTGCAAATCGGTGTGACGAATAATAAACGACCACTGGAAGTGTTGAGATTCTCAAATAATAATCCTGAAAATTGGGCGATATTCATTGATGCCGGTCTACAGGGTCGTGATTGGCTGAGTCCAGCTGCTGTCACATTGGCCATATCAAAATTGGCCCATCAATGGAAAGTAGGGCCATCGTATATGAGACACATTGATTGGTATTTCCTGCCAGTGGCCAATCCTGATGGTTATCAACATTCAAGGATAACAGATCGTTTGTGGACTAAAAATCGTCATTTTGATAGTAAATCCGGATGTTTTGGTGTGAATTTAGATCGTAATTTTGAATATAAATGGGGTGGTGCTGGTTCATCAGATAATCCCTGCAAGAATCTCTATAAAGGTCCAAAGAAATTCTCGGAGCCGGAGACACGCGCCATACGCAATTTTATGTTTAATATGAAAGATTTCCTGGGAGCGTATATATCGTTCAGTGGTTATGGCCAGGACATTGCCTATCCATGGGGTGATGCTGATTTTGTTACGGATAATCAAAAGCAATTGCATCATGTGGGCCGGAGAGCAATGATGGTAAGAGATTAAGCTTCCTTGCTTCTAAAAGAAGAAAATATCTAATTTGTTTTTGAATTTCAGAATTTCCGCAAATTAAATGAAGCGGAATATCGTGTGGGTTCCAGCTACCGTCTGAAGTTGGCCAGGGCTGGCAATTCAGCCGATTGGGTCCAACATCGCATTAATCCCCACTTTGTCTATAATGTATTTTTAAAGGATCAGGGCCGTTATGGTTTCTTAATGCCACCCAGTTACATTGTGGAATCCGGCGAAGAGGTCTATGAATTTATGCGCACCGTTGCCTTGGCCTTATATAGATTAAATTAAACTGACTTAATTTTTAAGTGTTTTGTTTAGTATTTAACTTTTTAATTGTAAGTTATTTATTTTTTATTTTAATTTATAGATAAATAAATTATTTTTCCTAATGTGACTTAATAATGCGTATATCGAAGTCAGCAATTGTTTCTTATGTTCGGCCGGAGTGAACTTTTTATTCCCTCCACACCACATTCAAAATTATAAACAAGTTAGCAAAGGAAAAAATTGAATATTTTCATAATTTCATTCATAGTTATTTTTTCATATTGTACGTGTACCTCGCATTGAACACAAGTAATAATTCTTATAATCATGAAACATTTCATTAATATCAAAACTTTTTTCCGCCTCTCCCCTTGTTAACTACTGTTTCTGTTGGTAACAACCGCCGACTTTCCACTCACTACATTGTGTGTAAGTTTTGTATTTTATTGGTGTTACAAAATTCGCATATGCATTTTCCAATTTATTTGACTCACCACCACTTTCGATATTTTGAAGTTTTTATGAGCATTTTTTTCAACTGAAGTGCATGTAATTAGACATTCTGGGTTCAAGAAAGTTGACTATATGTCCATGATTTATGGGAGCTATACCAAATTCGTACAATCTGAATTTAAAATTTAGTACTGTTTAGTACATTTCGTATAAATCAGGGCACACTTCCATACCTCCTAATATCAACACCACTTCTAAACTTTGATTCGTATTCGAAATTTCATATCTTTAGCTCTATCCCTTCACATGTTAAGTAATTGTAGCAAATTTAATACGTTTTGGATATATAGTACGAATTTTCAAAAAAAAAAAAAACATCCATCCTGCGCTGCAGTGACCCTCATTCCAAATTTAAGAGTTCTAGCTCGATCGGCTTGGGCGAAGTGCCCGCTTCTTCGAATGCTGAAAGAGAATACAAACAAATATAATAGCATTTTCGTACTCATGGATACGAATTTCCAAAACTACCTCAATCTTGTTTTCAAATAGTAATCGTAAGTTCAAATTTAAGAATTCCAGCTCTATCCGTTCACCAAAATCCAAATTGTACCAGATTTCGTACCATTCTGTCCTTTTCGTATCCATATTCCAAAACTATCACAATCTTCAATCTACCCGTTCACCATTGTCAAATTTAGTACTTTCCGTACCCAAAAGTACGAATTTTCAAAACTACCTCAGTCATGCACTCCAATAAAAATTATAAGTCCAGATTTAAAGATTCAAGCTCTATCCGTTCACTAATATCCAAATTTAGTACAATTTATTACTTTCGTAGATGTAAGTACGACTTTCCAAAACTTCTTCTATTCTACACTCCAACGGTCATAAATCATAGATAGATCCAAATTGTACCATATTTAATACCACTTAGTACTTTTCGTACTTTTATGTTCGAATTTCCAACACAACCTCAATCCTGTACTCTAACAGTAATTTTAATTCTATATATAAATTGTCCATCTCTATCCGTTCACTCAAATCTAAATTGTTCCAAATTTAGTACCATTTAGTACACACCATTACGAATTTTCAAAACTACCTCCATATCCCAATCCTGTACTCAAACATTAATTTTAATTCCAATTTTCGGGATCAAAGCGCTATCCATTCACACAAATCCAAATTGTACAATATTTTCTACTATTTATTAGTAGTTAGTACAATTTAGTACCCATAACTACAAATTTCCAAAATTGTCTTAATCCTACACCCTACCAGTAATCTAAATTCCAAATTTAAGAATATCAAACCGGTCCTATCAGCCTAATGTAAATTGTCCCAAATGTAGCATCATTTACATGGATCGAAATGGTACCATATTTAGTACCATTTAGGACATTTCGTGCCCATAAGTACGAAATTCCGAAACTACTTCAATCATGTTTCTAGCAATAATCTTAATTGAAATTTCAATTTTCAATTTCCATCCGTTCAACCATTTCAAAACTACCTCCATGTCTCAATCCTACATTCCAACACTAGTTTTAATCCCAAATTTCTCCAGCCTCCAGGACTCTAGCCCTATCCGTTCACACGAAACAAAATGTAAAATAGTTGGTTCCATTTAGTATTTTTTATTCCCATAAGTACGAATATCGTAAACTAGCTCAATACTACATTCTAAAAGTAACTTTAATTCCAAAATATTAGAGTTCAGCTGTATGCTTTCACACATAATCAAGTTGTACCAAATATAGTACCACTTAGTACACATAAGTACTATACTTCCATATCTGAATTCTACACTACAAAAGCAACCATTATTCCAAATTTTAGGTTTTCTGCTCTCTCCGTTCACTCAAATCTGAATCTAATCAAATGTATTGCTGTTTAGTACTTTTCGTACACATAAATTTCCAAACCTGTATCCTCCGTTCACCCAAATCTGAATCGTACCAAATCTAGTGCTGTTCAGTACTTTCAGTACACTGGGAGCGTATATATCGTTCAGTGGTTATGGCCAGGACATTGCCTATCCATGGGGTGATGCTGATTTTGTTACGGATAATCAAAAGCAATTGCATCATGTGGGCCGGAGAGCAATGATGGTAAGAGATTAAGCTTCCTTGCTTCTAAAAGAAGAAAATATCTAATTTGTTTTTGAATTTCAGAATTTCCGCAAATTAAATGAAGCGGAATATCGTGTGGGTTCCAGCTACCGTCTGAAGTAGGCCAGGGCTGGCAATTCAGCCGATTGGGTCCAACATCGCATTAATCCCCACTTTGTCTATAATGTATTTTTAAAGGATCAGGGCCGTTATGGTTTCTTAATGCCACCCAGTTACATTGTGGAATCCGGCGAAGAGGTCTATGAATTTATGCGCACCGTTGCCTTGGCCTTATATAGATTAAATTAAACTGACTTAATTTTTAAGTGTTTTGTTTAGAATTTAACTTTTTAATTGTAAGTTATTTATTTTTTATTTTAATTTATAGATAAATAAATTATTTTTCCTAATGTGACTTAATAATGCGTATATCGAAGTCAGCAATTGTTTCTTATGTTCGGCCGGAGTGAACTTTTTATTCCCTCCACACCACATTCAAAATTATAAACAAGTTAGCAAAGGAAAAAATTGAATATTTTCATAATTTCATTCATAGTTATTTTTTCATATTGTACGTGTACCTCGCATTGAACACAAGTAATAATTCTTATAATCATGAAACATTTCATTAATATCAAAACTTTTTTCCGCCTCTCCCCTTGTTAACTACTGTTTCTGTTGGTAACAACCGCCGACTTTCCACTCACTACATTGTGTGTAAGTTTTGTATTTTATTGGTGTTACAAAATTCGCATATGCATTTTCCAATTTATTTGACTCACCACCACTTTCGATATTTTGAAGTTTTTATGAGCATTTTTTTCAACTGAAGTGCATGTAATTAGACATTCTGGGTTCAAGAAAGTTGACTATATGTCCATGATTTATGGGAGCTATACCAAATTCGTACAATCTGAATTTAAAATTTAGTACTGTTTAGTACATTTCGTATACATCAGGGCACACTTCCATACCTCCTAATATCAACACCACTTCTAAACTTTGATTCGTATTCGAAATTTCATATCTTTAGCTCTATCCCTTCACATGTTAAGTAATTGTAGCAAATTTAATACGTTTTGGATATATAGTACGAATTTTCAAAAAAAAAAAAACATCCATCCTGCGCTGCAGTGACCCTCATTCCAAATTTAAGAGTTCTAGCTCGATCGGCTTGGGCGAAGTGCCCGCTTCTTCGAATGCTGAAAGAGAATACAAACAAATATAATAGCATTTTCGTACTCATGGATACGAATTTCCAAAACTACCTCAATCTTGTTTTCAAATAGTAATCGTAAGTTCAAATTTAAGAATTCCAGCTCTATCCGTTCACCAAAATCCAAATTGTACCAGATTTCGTACCATTCTGTCCTTTTCGTATCCATATTCCAAAACTATCACAATCTTCAATCTACCCGTTCACCATTGTCAAATTTAGTACTTTCCGTACCCAAAAGTACGAATTTTCAAAACTACCTCAGTCATGCACTCCAATAAAAATTATAAGTCCAGATTTAAAGATTCAAGCTCTATCCGTTCACTAATATCCAAATTTAGTACAATTTATTACTTTCGTAGATGTAAGTACGACTTTCCAAAACTTCTTCTATTCTACACTCCAACGGTCATAAATCATAGATAGATCCAAATTGTACCATATTTAATACCACTTAGTACTTTTCGTACTTTTATGTTCGAATTTCCAACACAACCTCAATCCTGTACTCTAACAGTAATTTTAATTCTATATATAAATTGTCCATCTCTATCCGTTCACTCAAATCTAAATTGTTCCAAATTTAGTACCATTTAGTACACACCATTACGAATTTTCAAAACTACCTCCATATCCCAATCCTGTACTCAAACATTAATTTTAATTCCAATTTTCGGGATCAAAGCGCTATCCATTCACACAAATCCAAATTGTACAATATTTTCTACTATTTATTAGTAGTTAGTACAATTTAGTACCCATAACTACAAATTTCCAAAATTGTCTTAATCCTACACCCTACCAGTAATCTAAATTCCAAATTTAAGAATATCAAACCGGTCCTATCAGCCTAATGTAAATTGTCCCAAATGTAGCATCATTTACATGGATCGAAATGGTACCATATTTAGTACCATTTAGGACATTTCGTGCCCATAAGTACGAAATTCCGAAACTACTTCAATCATGTTTCTAGCAATAATCTTAATTGAAATTTCAATTTTCAATTTCCATCCGTTCAACCATTTCAAAACTACCTCCATGTCTCAATCCTACATCCCAACACTAGTTTTAATCCCAAATTTCTCCAGCCTCCAGGACTCTAGCCCTATCCGTTCACACGAAACAAAATGTAAAATAGTTGGTTCCATTTAGTATTTTTTATTCCCATAAGTACGAATATCGTAAACTAGCTCAATACTACATTCTAAAAGTAACTTTAATTCCAAAATATTAGAGTT